ACAGCTACATTTCCAGTACCAAATTTTCTTTAACCAAATTTTTTTACAGCAAATAAGGATTTTTTTTCGGGAAAATTTGCGAGTGGTTTTGAGACAATTTCAAATGGTTTAAACTATAACTCGTATTATGGCATGGTGTTTGGAGATTTTCATCAGTTATGATAAAAACTACTACGTTTCGTAGAGAAAAAGTAAAAAAAAAAAGCAAATTTTTGAAACGCGAATAAATAACCTGTTTGAGAATGTTGAGAGTTCGGTGAAGGTCAAAGGAATTACAGTGAGCACATATGAGAGTCCGTCAAAAATAACCAAACATTTCTTCAGAAAATCTTCAGTGTTAACATAGTCAAATTCCAAACTGAGAGGATCTTGGAAATTTGCAACAAAATCGTTCAAGTCCTGGAAAGTGGGAAAAAAAAAACAATTTTCTGTGATCAAAAAAAAAAAAAATTCAGCTTAACTCTAACTTATCTGCGTCTAATTTGGCTCATCTTTGACTAGCCAATAATCAATTCCATTAGTTCTGACTGATCAAAAATCAATTCCACTCGATGCTATCTAGTCAGGAACTAGCTCAGTTTACAGAGAACATGAAAAAATGGAAAAATGGATCCGAAAAATGGAAAACTGGATACTTGTCCAACAGTCTTGATGCTTGACAAGACATCGGCTTCCGTAAACTGCCTCGATGAGTAAGCTTCCCGAATAATCCTTTCAACAGCAACAGTGTTTGATCGTTTGAAGATGGAAATCGCACGAAACAGTCGTTTCGTATTGAACAAGCTGTTTTCTTTTTTCAGCAACTGATGATTTCGTTTGCCCAAAAACTGAAAATTTTTGGAATTGAAAGAAAAAAAAAAACTAATTTTTGGAGGTTTATTTCGCGGTTCCTGGAAAAGAAAGAGAAGCGTGAATGAAGCGAAATGAGCCGGTTAAGGATGAAAGCGAGGGATGACAAAAGAAATATAAGTTTTCTCCCTTTTCCTTATGCACTGCGGATGCTAAACGGAAGAACGGTATTAATCCGTCTAACCACGGAAGAAATCCTGAAATCGCACAGCCTTTTTAAAAGGACTGCCCGAAGCAATGCAAAGGCCATAGCTTTACGCTACCCCGCATCTACTTTTATTATTATGCATTTTTGCTGTGCAGCGCTAGTGAGCTGGAACCCCTTCAGCAAACACTCTGTGCGCCAGGATCTCCAGTGGACTGACAAATGGACGATGCAGCATTGGTCAAAACACTGGGAAAGCTGCGAGCTGT